CCTGAAAGCACGCATCCGATCCAAACTGCATAAAACCCGGAAGTTAGTATCCATACTGAAAGTTCAGTATACTGAAACTCCATACTGAATAGTACGTACTGCCTACTGAACTGTGACAATTCGGAAAGGGCCCCAGACTCTATTCTCCCAGCTGAAGGTGATTGTACTATTAGATCGACTTACAACCTTCAGACTGTTGCTTTAATATGTGCTTCATTAAACTGAAATTATTTTTTACAGGTAAGAGGACACACGCACAATTACAAAAACCTTGAATCAGGTTTTCTTTGGTTTGGATTTCTAATTAAAAAATAAATTTCACTTTCACATCAGAGTCCTTGTTTTTGTTTTTCTGTTAAGTTCTCTGGAGGATGGTTACTCGTCTCTGATAGTTGGTGTAGTGCTCTTTCAGATCAGCAGGTGGCAGCACACACCTCTTCACTTACCTCCTGTATCAGAGCGTAGAAGAAGAAGGTGACGCGGAAGTAGAGCAGGATAATAAACAAACAGATCCCACAGTGAAGTCCGGGGTCTGTTCCGGGGTGCAATATGGAGAGTCCGCCGGAACTAGGTTTTACTTTGGCCTACATAGTATTCTGTCTATGCTTCGTCTTCACCCCCACAGAGTTCAGGTCCGCCGGGATCACCGTTCAGAACCTGTTCGGCTCCTGGCTCGGCAGCGAGGATTTGGGCTTCACCCAGTACCACGTCCGCAGGACCAGCGTCACCGTGCTGGTCCACAGCGCCCTGCCTCTGGGTAAAAAAACAGACTCCTTATACATACAGGGTGATCAAATCAATGTCAGTCACACAATGATTTATAACCCCCCTGCCTATGAGTAATGCACAGACTCACATACAGTTATGTAAACCGGTGTTATGCCGAGAAATGCATCCCTGCCAAGAATGACATGCAGCTCGCGGAATTGTTAGAAACGGTATAAATGTTATTTCTGGGGGCAGATCTGTGATGATAAAGTATGTGAAGTTTATTCTTAATAAAGTTAAGTGCCCTTATTGTTCTGTAGACTCGGTAGAAGACTGTGTGTGTGCGTGCGCGCGTGTGTCAGAGCAAACAGGAAACATGACTCTGACCTTCTTATTGTTTTTCTTCTCTGCAGGTTACTACTTGGGCATGTGTCTCGCCGCTCCTGACAAAAACCTTCTTTATGTCCACCAGGTCAGCCAGCCTGTCTGCCTATGTGTGTGCCTGTCTGTATGTATCTCTCAGTCTGTCTGCATTTGTCTGTGTGTGTTTGTGTTTATCTGGCTCTCTGTCTCCCCCTGCTGGAGAACAATAGCGCTGCAGCCTGATATCTGACACTCCCTCTCTATTGGTTGCAGATGACTGATAACTTCTTGGCTCATGTTGTTTGTCCAGGTGAGTGACGGGTGGAGGACCTTCCTCCTCGTCTCTCTCGGCCTCCAGCTGCTCGGCTGGATGCTTGTCGTCTATTGGTCCAGACGTAATTGGACCTACCATCCAATCAGCCGGGCCCTGCAGGCCCACGTCCGGCCCCCCAACTCCAACTGGGGCTCTGTGGCCTCCAGCATCAACACCGAGTTCAGACGCATCGACAAGTTCGCTACGGGAGCTCCTGGAGCACGAGTCATCATCACCGACACCTGGGTGCTGAAGGTGAGTCGCTCACCTGTCAGACAGAGCAGTATACAGTTTTTCTTTTTTTTTTCATATAGGATGCTTGCCCAGGGGTGAGTGGATAGAGAAATCAGGGCAAGAGAGAGAGAGAGAGTGGGAAAAGACACACGGGAAAGGAGCCACAGGTCAGACCTAAACCACTAGGTCCCCGGTGCCCCATAATCTTACAATTCACCAAAACATATTCAAATACATGGATGACAGTGTGTGTATGTGTGTATGTGTGTGCCTGTGCAGGTGACCACCTATCACGTCTACATCGCCCTACAGTCTGAGTGTCATGTAACCGTCACAGAGTCCAGACAGCATCAGCTGAGTCCAGACTCCACCTCCCCGACACAGATCCTCACCCTAAGAGTGGAAAGCATCAACCCTGCAGCCAGAGCCTTCCACATCAGGTACACACCTGTACACACCTATACACACCTGTATGTATGTATGTGTGTTTATACTGACCCCTCCTCCCCCTCCTCAGTCTGAACTCCACAGAGTACTCGGAGCTCAGAGAGAAGCTTCACTCTCCCATCAGGAGCTCAGCGAACGTGGTGATCCATCAGACCATCAGTGAACTCTTCCTGGACACCTTCAGGGCTCAGGTGGACCTCAACCCCCCCTACACCCTGCCCAGTGGACAGGTACGCTGCTCTGTGTGTGTGTGTGTGTATGTGTGTGGGGCGACGTTGTGACATGTCAGGGTTTTCCACACATAGATGATAACCGTATGGGCCGCCCCAGGTACATTTGTGGCTGCCAAAGTGTATTTCCAACCTTTATCCATAAAATCACTGCAAGTGAGAGCAAAACAAAGAGCGAGAGAAGTCTGCCGACTGTATGTAGAGCCCTCATCGATGAGTACCAGTCTCCTGATGTTTCAACACAATATGTAGAGAAACATTTCAAAACGTGGGCAAAGTTATTTGATCAGGCAGCTTAATGCTGATGAGTATTAAATAACAAGCTGCTGTGTGGAAGAAAGGAGAGGTGCAGGTGTGTTGATAAGAGAACTGAAGGGAAGTAAGATGAGCAGATGAGGTAGAGAATAAAGCACCAGTAATATATTTACTCTCCTCATATCAGATTCCCCCATCCTCAGAATGCAAAATAAGAGCTGAACATCGGGGGCGCTGGTGGCGCAGTGGTTAGTGCCCGCACCCCATGTACGGAGGCTGTAATCCACCAAGCAGACGGCTCAGGTTCAAATCCCACCTGTGGCACCTTTCCCACATGTCATTCCTATCTCTCCATTAAAGCCCAAAAATAAATCTTTTTAAAAGCAGAACATAAAGCACTGCTGTATAAATTGTAAATAGATACAAAATGTGTGAAATGGGACTTGTGCATACTTGTCTTCAGGCTGATGGTGTGTGTCTTTTAGGATCTGGAGCCGTGTATCGGCTGTATGCAGGTTCCTGCTAACAGCAAGCTGGTCACACTCTGCCACACTGAAGGTAAGGCTGTGTGTGTTTACTTCTTCTGAGGTACAGACTGTGTGTATTCATGTCGTTCGTTTTTTTGTTTTCAGAGTCGGAAGGGGACTCGGACTGTCAGAGGTGTTTCTGCAGACCCATGTGGTGTCTGTCCTGTCTGGGTCGGTGGTTTGCGAGTCGTCAGGACCAGCAGAGACCTGAGACCTGGCTGTCCAGTCAAGTCCCATGTCCCACCTGCAGAGCCCGGTTCTGTATCCTGGACGTGTGTGTGGTCCGCTGACACACTGAACACACTGTGTCTGTGGAGGGGAAGGGGGATTCATACTACAGACCACCTGAGGACGGGGACTGGACTTTATGAATCCCTTCCCCAGAATGACAGCTGTCAGTCAGGAGTCTGTGTAACATTTATACAGTTAATATATAATCTGAATGCAGGATTTATAAAGTGTGTTTAGAGTTAAACTATGGTCTGTATTCAGTTTATTTACAGACTGTTTGTTACCTGTGCTCTTTAATGGAGCTTCAGGCAACTCTTCACCTGACGAGCTAAAAGCTAAAGTTAGCCAGCTGGAAGCACAAGAATGTAAACAAAGGAAGCTTGATGGGACTCATCACCTCACCTGGAGGACCTATCAGAGCTCACCTGAGAGAGTGTGTTTGTCCTTCAGACGCTGAGAGGATCAAACACGATGACCACGTTTCATTTAAAAAAAACTCTAAACCTAAAAATAACCAAACAGGTACGAGTCCCGACCTCGAACCTTTTCTCTCTATCCTCCTCTACATCTCCTGTGGATCCTTACCTGTCCTTTCAATAAAGGTGAACATATTTCAAACCAAACAAAACATGTTTTTTTCATTTAGATATATGAATAAATAGTGATAAATGTAATTATTGATTTTAGATAAAACTCCTGAGGTCACAGCTGATTGGATTGAGGGTACCTGTGAATATTTACCTGTGTGACATCATACAGAATATTTACCTGTGTGACATCATACAGAATATTTACCTGTGTGATGTCACACATATACAGAATCTACGTCATCAGTTTAAGCTGACTTTAAATAAATGCATTACTCCCCTCCAAACAGCAGGTGGCAGTGTTCCTCCACAGTTTTTATTGTCAGTGATTTTTTTTTTAACATTATGAACATTAAATCAATGTTATCATGAAAGTTTTTTATATTTCGGTTTCATTATAGTTATTAATGATATATTTAGAGTTTTTATTAATACATGTATTATGTTTAGTTCTTGTAACAATCATTGAGTTATTGTTAGTGATTTTTATTATAGAGTTATTGAGAATCATTAGAATAGTTTTACTAATAAAGTTCTGATTCTTCTTACAGCTGTGATTGAGAGATGAGTCCATCACACAGGTGACATTAACAGGTGTTTTTCATAGACAGATGTTACCTACAGATCTGATTATAAATGATAATATATTTGAAGTACAAACCTTATTTGCTCTGATGACTGAAGGAGAATACAAATCTAAACACGCTAAAACTAAAGAATCCTCAGTTTAATGTCCTAAACCAGTGGTTCTCAACTAGGGGGTCGGGACCCAGAGGGGGGTCGTGTAGACATTTTCAGTGGGTCACGAATGTGATCCTGGAAAACAAAACGTGTGTAAAAAGTCTGTTTTGGCTTTTTAAACATGTTTGTTTTCTACCTACTGATGTCCAAACTGCACAATTTTTCATTAAATAAATATTATTGGTCAAAAAGTATCAGATATTTGGGCAGCGGTTTTTTCATGGAGGAGTTAGTGGTGGGTCCTGAGGCTAGACGAGTTGAGAACCACTCTCCTAAACACACATGCACATACACACAAGCACACAAGCACACAAACATCAAAGCTCTTAGAAATAAAACGTTTGAATAATAACAGTTAGAACAA